CTTAACATTTGTACTTGTATAAAAAGTGCTTTGTAAGTAGTTCATCTGCATAGGAATGCATTTTATGAAAATATTTTACAAAATTTATCTATTTAATTCGTCATAGTACAGTGTTATAATATCAAAAGGTTTTTGGTGAATTCACTTAGTACCTATATAGAAAATAAAAACAATCCCCCCCCATCCTCTCTCTATCTTCAAATCTGTTTATCCCTAACTACTCACAAGAGGCTGGCAACGCACTCAACTTGTAGTCACTCCTTTGGTATTATGAGTGTCTATGGACGGCGTCAATTGCTTACCATCAGGTAATCCGTGTGCACGTTTGCCGACCTATCACATAAAAAACCAAATTTCCCTAATACCCACCGTAAAAACACACTGGGGCCGTTACAAATTTAACGTAAATTTTAACATTCGTTACCGTAATCCCTTTAATAAACCGTACGCAGATTATTAGTTTAAACGTCAATTATCCCTATTACCCGCGGTTTTGGTAATAGCCTACAATTTTATCAAGAATAGCTATTCCAGCAAGGTTTGTGTAGAAATAATTAAAAATTGTAACATCTTTTTCAAAATCATGTAGCAAAACATCATTCTGTTAGAAAGGTGTTTTAATCGTAAACGCAATAAAATGAACAAGCTTTGTAATGTTTGGGCCACACTAACGAAAATGGGAAATGTCATTAATTATCGCGATAATGAACGCTAATCGTAGGTGAAATTTGATTACTAAGCAAATGAATTAAGGTATATTTTTCATTGTTTAATATCATCAATAATTGCTATGGTTATTGGCATTTCCCGTTAGTGTGGCCCAAGAATAAATGCGTCTGTTATGTTGAAAGTTGATGTGAAATGTCACTTGCTCTCTTCCGTTCTCGGTTTGGGTCATTCGGTATGTTCAAATTTTTCTCCATCACATTCGTCGCCGTTACATTTGAGAAAAATTGAATTAAATAATAAAAAAATTCTAACACAACAGCTACTTCTAAATACAACTCAGGCTAAAGGCAAAATAAACTCATAAACAGCACCCAGAGGCAAAGAGGATCTGGTGGAAAGCAATCAGCGCGACCCATGGACAATCGCAATACAAAATCAGTTACAAGTGAATTGCTGGTTTTTTGTGAATTGTTAACAACTATGGACATGTGGGGATTAGGGATTGGGAATGGTGGAGGCGAAGGATTGGATCGTCGGTAACCGGACTCATTCATACGTCGAAATACAACTTAAGCATTATTTTACGTCATTATTCTGTGAGGCCGTAGAATGACTCCGGTCGAGTCGCCCTATTCATACCAATGCATGGCTCTCCCACACGTTCTATTACGAAGGTTTTGATTACAGCCACGGTTTTATACTGTTATACAATTATAGGGAAAACATTGTTTAGTTAATTTTAAACCCTGATATTCGAATGTTAATCGTGAATAAAAATATTGCTATGAGATGGTAGTATTAGATTTTGCATTCGGCTTTGCACAAACGTTATTTCACGGAAATAAAATTTTGATAGGATAGTAGTGTAAGAAACTAATTTCGGAATCCAATTTTGTGGTGGTTTCCAAGTAACACAAAGCGTAAAGGTCTTTTGAAAAGACTATTTTTTTTATGTAATAAGTCGGCAAACGAGCAGACGGATTACCGGTAAGCAATCAGCGCTGCCCATGGACACCCGCAACAGAGGAGTTACGAGTGCGTTGCCGACCGTTTAGGGATTAGGAATTTGGAGATTTAGTGTTTGAAGATGGATTGGGGGAGGGGAAGGATAGAACTATTACAATGATTGTCTACTCCTAATATTATAGACAGGATAGTGTATGTGCATTGAACAATTTCCGAAACAAATAGACTAATTTCTGGATGTTCAACCAGTGATGTGTCTGTTTGTAAACCTTCACATACATACCTGTAACTGTATGTGAAAACTAGTTCAATAAAGACAAAAAATTAAATATATTTGACTAGCAAATTATTTAAAATTTAATATTAAAATTTATACATAGGAACTTGGTACCTGTCATAAAATATTGTGGCACATTTTCGCACAGCGCAACACACGGCAACTTTGCTCACCACAATTAAATAAAATGTTGTATTTCGATACAGCTTGATACAGGTTTAACTGCAATGTTACTGTGTAGCTGCAGGTCATTTCCACTTGCTTAGAATGTTATAAATTTATTTCAAAGATAACAAAACATTATATATATAGTACGCCTCGGGTTCATAGCAGAAAACACAGGGTGGGTTTTAATCGGTAAAAGTTTGACATTTCACTACCCTAGCGGGAAAAATCATCCGATGATCCCCCACTCAAAATAAAATCAAATTTAACAAATTTTAATGCCTGAAGTGATGGTAAAAAGTATAACATTCGATGTAACATCTCGTGTACGCAAACAAAAAAACATGCAAATATTTTTTGTTTTATTGAAACTGCCGGATGCTTGTATACCATTGTTTACTATTTTATTGTAAAATATGTGTATATTTTATACCACGACGAAAAGTTTAACGCATCTGTATAATGACTACGATGCTGGTCTTTTGGGAAGCTAGGGTTTAAAAAGATTGGGGGCAGGGGTGTCATACAGCGAGAGACAACAAAGCTTTATTTCACGCCACGTTGTAGGAATCTGGCACATTCATGCTAAAGCAGGCACTTCATAATTTCATCATCATCATCAGCCTGATTTCATCCACTGTTAGACATAGGCATCCCCAATTGCACGCTTCTGCGCTCGATGTTTAGCTCTTTATTCAGCTTCTCATCCAACCACTGCATGCCAACCCAAAATATATCGTTAGCCCACCTAGCTAAAGGGCGCCCTAGACGTGGTCTACAGTATAGAACACGTCTACTCCAACAGTCATCTTCATAATTTAAGACAATTATCACAAAATGTTAAGAACTGGTCGTAACATTTTGAAAATGCTCTATAAGTAATAATAAAAGCTATATTAATCTTAGCCTATATTGCAATAAGGCCTAAGTCTACCCAATTTTAATGGAAGAGTTTACTTCAAAGTGGTTTATAAATAACAAGCTTTAAAAGACTGTTCCCGTAGCACAAGTTGCTACGTCGTAGCAGCTGGTTGTGTAGAATGATTTACTGTACCCAAGAGAAAAAAATCGTGTTTAAGGAAATTAGCTAGCTACTCTGGTGTGATTCTGCCCGATGCTTAGCTCCTTTTATGTGTAGCGTAATGTTTTAGAGCCTGTTGCCTTTATTAATTAATATACTGTGTTTTTAACCAATAGAAATCCTTCCTGAAATCCTGAAATATGTGCGTTCAAACCCACAAATCTCTACAGGTTTATAATAATAATATAGAGTAGAACTGTATGCTGTGTTATTTAACATGTTGTTAAGTAAGTATGTGTCACGTCAACGTCATAACTTAAACAGTATCTAGTAAAATGTATTACTGAGTATCAATATACAGGAGAAAATAAATGATATTTAGTTATAATTTTATTTGATTACAAGTTCATATATCACAGTTTATCGAAATGAAAAGTAATTCTGATTACGTATGTAATAAATATTATTTTTTTTAAATGCAAATCAATGAAATTTAATTCAATTATTTAACTTACTTTAAGAGATAACGTTTATTACAGGCAACTTATTTTTGAATAATAACACTATCGTGAGAAATACTAAGTTTATAGAAAAAACGACTTACTCACTCTGAGAATAGCTTTTTTTTGTCAGGGGTAAATCATCAAATGACTTCTCCCGCCCAGGGTTAGGCGAGAGAGAGTGTCAGACTCTTACTGACTAAAACCCCCCCGTTCTTTCTCCTGCTCTGGGCCGAGGCCGCGGTGACTCATTGCGACTCTGAGAATAGCTGGTCCCCGTTGTGATTTGAAACTACTAGAGCTTTTCTCAGTTAATTCCCGTGTGTAAGGCATTATTTTCAATAGTCATCTTACGTCGATCTACAGTCATTTGATTCTTGAATAATCTAAAGACAAATATAGTTACCATACCACAATATCCAACAATGGACGTTAATTGAAACACAATAAAGTTAAAAATGCATTCTCGTTTGTTCAGGACTAACAAAGAGCCAAGGCAATATCCGTTGTCCGCAAACCGTCTTCCTATATCAGGTTCGACAGACGCGACCGATGTTCAGAGTAAATAGTGCCAGTTATTTTGACGTTATTGCGATCGCAACGTTATCGCGTTTAGCCTTCTGATTGGTTGATTAACTTATAGCAGTCCAATCAGAGCTTCGAACATCAAACTTGTCGGGCCTACATCGAACGTTGCCCACGTTATATCACGTTAGCATCATATCGTTTGAATATGTGTCTGCTAGAGACAGAATGTTGGTGTGATCTTGTCACCACATTTCTAAAACGAAAATCTACTGTCCCACTATACTTCCCGTTATACTTATTATATAATAGTTTCCACCCGCGGCTTCACCCGGTCTAAAAAATAATAGTAATGTTTTTGTGTAAAAAATAACAACCATATACTTAATTTTAGTAGGAAGTATGTAGGGCTCTTTGCTGCAATTAAAATACGATATCGAAATGGCCGTTCTTTTGTCATTATTTAGCCTACTGTGTTCTTATGATTTAATAGATTATGAAAATAATTTATACACCCATTGTGAATTTGTAGTTGGCCGTAAATCGTAGTCCAATTTCCAGTATGAGTATATGACCTATCATTAGCTCATAATGAAGTAATTGTAGGTTGTTCGTATTAAGGATTAGTCCATCATTTATTCTGTTAATGTTTGACATTTACAAGGGAAGCATCCTTAGTGAAACAGAAGTTAGAAATAAAAAGTTTTAACCTTTCATATACTCGTATTTTTTTTATAATTAAAACAAATAAGTATAATTGTCTTTGAAGTGTGTATGTCTGTTTGAAGGTATGACAGCAAAACATTCTAATTCATATGTATGATTACTTGGAAATTGCACTAGGTAATAAAATGCTATAAAATTTTATAAAACTCACCAAGTTCAAGAGATATACATTCGTGATTGTCCTCATTCTTCTGTTGCTAGCTAAGGTCGCTATAACAAGGCAGTTTCCTGATATGGACAGCATGAATATCAGGATGTACGGTGGTAGTATGAACCTCCACTCATACGCGTTGCTAGCAACCTTGCTCGCAACAATACTTGTGTTACGAACTGCAACAAATGTTGCAATAGTCGAAGTTTCCCTCATGCGAAGCAGTGAAGAGTTCAGGATTGGGCTCATTTCCTCCATTTTGAGTACCTGCAATTAAAAAAAAACAGTGTTAGCAGTGATTGAAAGTTTTACATCATAAACTGCTACTTTAAGACAACGAATAAAGGTTAGCTGCGCTCGACCGGAGTGATGCCACAGAAAACCATTGCGAATCAACCACAGCGCTGTGTTTGGCCGTGTGAGTGAGGTTACTGGAGGCCCAATTTTTAACATCCCTCCTCAATCCAGAAATATCGAAACCTTAAGTCTCAAAAGCCGGCAACCCATACCATGCGCGAAGCCGCGACAATTGCTTAAATCTAGGTAATCCAAATAAGACAAACAAATTATCTCTTGCTTTTTTCAGTTAAGATAAATAGGTAAGTATGTATTTTCTTGTACCATAGGTAATCCGGATACTTATCACACATCGATTAGACACAACAATTCGTCAATCTTAAAGAGAATTGTGTCATGTGAAAATCGACCTTCGTAGCTTTGTGTCAAAGCCATGCACTAGCTCAGTTTGCTGTGAACTAATTTCGCTAGCCAAACAAGACGATACAAAATACAAACTGTAGTGTACTGTAGTAACTAATATGGTTCGCTGAACAGTACTTGTTTAAGACTTGCACTTTCCAACAACGAATGGTTAACTACTAGAGCTTTGAGCAGAACATAAATCTTTGATAGCAATTTCTCGAAGTAACTTCTCACATTGCTAATATTATTCACGAAAAACTTTTTAAATTACAACTTTGATCATTAATGTAACATAATGCTGAGATATGCTATCAAACTTTTTGTATTTATTATGGTCTTTGTTTTATTACAATATTTTACTGCTTTTGTAAATTAGAACAATATTTTAAAATTATTGATAATTCTATCAGTACCTAATATGCATTGTATGTAATATGTGAATCACTTCACATGTGATAGAATATATAAAACAGAGGGTAGAGCAAAAATATTAAATTAACTAGTGAACATCGCATACGATACGTGCTTCCTAAGTTTGTTTAGATACCACTGACAAACACTGAAGGAAAAACACCGTGAGGAAACCTGGCCGTATAATTTCTAATTATAAGTTTGAAATCGCTAATCCGGCTTGAGCAAGCATAGTGATGAATGCTCAAACATTATCGGGAGTAGATAGAGATTAGCGGGAGTAGATGCTTTTGCTCAGCAATAGGCACTTATAGGGTGATGATGAAATTGAAGAATACTTTTTGAGTATCTTTTCTATGGATTTTTAATGATTTATAAAGATTTACATAGACAGACGGCACGGTTGGTGCGGTGGCTGGGCGACTGGCTACTGCAGCGTGTCGATTCCCACATGGAACAACTCTTTGTGTGATCCACAAACTGTTGTTCCGGGTCTGGATGACTTGTGTATGTGAAATTGTATGTGTGTAACCGCACCCATGACACAGGAGAAAATCCCGGTATGGGGAAACGTTTTTTAAAGAAAAAAATACATATATGATGTTTTGGATGAAGTTTTGACGCCCACAGAATATCGATGATAAAAATGAACTTGTCACAAACCCTTTAACGTGCAAGCAAATTTTAATCATGGATTACAGTAAAAGTAATTACAGTGAAGTAGCTCATCAAACAGTATAATTGGGTTCCCGTTTATTTTTTAGTCTCTGTTCTTTTTTTACTGTCTATTCCCTAAACACCAAACTAAGTATATGCCAAATAGTTATTGTCGACTTTAATATAGTGTTTATAAAGAAAGTTATAGGTAAACAGGTAAAATTGGTGCTCTATTTTCTGTGCGAAAATTGCTTTTTGGTCCTACCGTAATTTCGTTAGTAGGGCTTTGTCCTGGGATAAAAAAATCTATTCTGATTTTATAGCTACATTTTGGAAAACTAGCTTCACGTAGGTTTTAACAAGAATAGTTTGTCGATTGTCAGGTCTGTCTTTTTTATTCACACACTCGACACATATTTAAATGCAGTATAATTAGGGAGTGTCTCCCCTTTATATATAAAGTAGCGACCCGCCCCGACTTTACACGTGCAATGCCGATACTAATTTATTCTACTATTTAATGGATGTTATTTTACATATTATAAACCTTCCTCTTTTATCATCGCAACATCTCCTGAGGATGCCCTGTGGAAGGGCGAAACACGTGTCGAGTATAGGTTTGATTGCGTGGCATGTTTTTCCGTTTTTTGCACGTGTGCATATGCATGTCACCTTTGCTGCATGTGCATATGCATGATTGCATAGGAGTGGGATTGCATCCTGTAACAAGCCTGAATTTTATCGCGGAATAAAAAGTAATTATTTTTCCTTACATTTAATGTCATGGATTTCCGCTAAGTAACGCCTGATTCTATAAATTATCATAAATTTTTATATTTTTATTTTATAAGGCAATTACAACAGGTAACAATCGACATGATACAACGTTTTATACAGTATAATAGTTTGCACAGACTGCTACCCTAGCGTAATCACACAGCATGGTAAGCAAAATTAATCCAATAAAAACAAAAGTGTAGTACTACATTAAACAAGTGCATTAACAGTAAAATTAATAGTTAAAACCTAGACTACAATAATTAGCTGCTCAATGTAATAATCTAAAATATCGATATGTTTATTGTCTCACGACACTTCATTGAAGAGGCGACACATTCATAAGGATATAGGGACAGAGAAAGTGACTTTGATTTATATTGTGTTGTGATTTGATATTTACTTTTCTCGTATTTCTTGAGAGAAAAAACAGTAATCCATCTATCAATTCACATGTTCAAGGAGAGTTGTATTCTAAAACTTTAAGGTTTCTTAAGGAACTGAAATTGTAAATCTGCACTCGAAGTAAGTTGGATTGAAAATCGACCGGTTTTCCCAACTTTAGATCACAACGATACATCTGCGGTGTATGAGAATATGTATATTATTTATTCCAAGCTTTCATGCTGCTGCGACAACGTCGTAACTTATATGACTATTTTTTTTTTCTTTTTTTTTGTACTTCATGCACAATTTAGTATATACATTAGGCGGACTTAATGCATTAAGCATGCTCTACCAGTCGACCTTTAGGTGATGTAGAGAATCCAGAAGTAGATGCAAGAAGCAAGCGAAGTAGAATACTATGAGTATAGCATAGGTTTATATAAACATACATAAAATACACAGAACTATACTTATATACATATATTTATAAGACAGTCATAATACTGTCTTGGGCTAAAAAACAGTAAATTGCAAACTATTTTTGTTCTTTTCTAGATAAAAAGCAAGATAAGTATCGTCATACAATGGGTGAAGAGTTATTTTATTATAATATAAAAAATAAGTAATAAATAGTTTTTGAATAAAATATTGCTATAAATTTGTTTAAAATTATTTGTATCACTATAAAGAAAAGGTTTCTGACACTGGGAAGTTTCGAGTATTTAACACTACGCTTGCTCGAGGTGCATTGGCGAAACTTATAATTAGTAATTATAAGTTCAGGTTTCCGCACTATGTTTTCTTTCACTGTCTGTCGTCTGTTGGTGTTGGTGTCTAAATAAACTTAGAATGTCTTATTCGGAAATCTTTACATAGGTTCTTTTCATCTGCCTGGTTTCGAAGCCCGCATCTTTAGGTAATTATCGCCCGTAATGTTGTAAGAGTAAAATGAACTCTACATCATTGGTGTAAAATTCAATTAACAACGCAAAAAATATTTAAAATATTTACTCGTTCAGTGCGACCAGATTCACTCCGATTTACAAAATAACATACCAAAATATTGACGACACAATAACTTTTGAATTTTGTCGAAGGTAGGTATGTAGTATTTAGCTATATGTAACTCGTCGTATAATTATACCTTCATTATAGTTACTTATTGAAACTATAATTGTTATAAATATGATAATATAATATATCCTAATAATAATAATATGAAAGCAAAAGTAAATATGGATGGCTTGATGACGTCTAAGTTAAAAAAAGTCAGGAATAAAGCAAAGGTTTTTGAAAAATGTTAAGTCGTTCGAAGCCGCAGCTGCCAGAAGCAAATACTTAATATATTTCCAGACTAGCTTTTGCCCGTGACTTTGTTCGCGTGGAAAAGCTTTAAAAAGTATCCCATGTCCTTTCTCGTGTTCCAAACTTGTCTGTACCTAATTTCACACAAATAGGTTAAGTATTTTAGGTGTGAAGAAAAGACAGACAGACACAGAAAATCAGACAGTCAGACAGACAGACAGACAGACATACAGACACACAAACAAACAGAGTTACTTTCGCATTTACAATGTTAATTTGGATATACGTATACATTTTAAATGTCATGTGTTTAAGTTAGTCACGAATGGGTCAGCTCAATCGCAGTTATACCACGGACTCACAGAAAACCGGCGTGAAACAATACAGTGTTGTGTTTCGTCATGCGAGTGAAGTCACTGGAGGCTCAATCCTTCTTCGTCTCAGAAGTGGGAATTGTTAATACCATAAGTTGTAAAACGAGAAGATGAGTCACGATACTAGAAATACTGAGGAAATATTGGGGATTAGGGATTTGGGAATATTAGAGGCATGAGGGAAGGAAAGAGGATGAACCTTAATCACACGGCGAAACACAAAGCAAGCATTAATGTGAAAGCAAGGGTTTTCCACTTTTAAAATTTTCAACCAATCAATCAAAGAGACATGCGTGCGTTCAAAATATGTAACTGACAGTTTAACTGATGTTCTTACGTGACGCTATCATGCCCAAAACGTGCACGTTATACTTCTCTTTTTTAGTGAAATATCCCACGTTTACAAAGAGAAATAAATGTGTCGCAGTCTTTGTAAAAAATAATACGCATTTATACAAGTCAACAAGAGAAAAATTGCAAGGAAACGTTCCACGATTCCTTTTATGACGCTACCTGTACGTACTTTTTGTATAACTTCATAGCAATCATTAAGTACAATTAGTTAGACAGGATAGTAAAAATATGAATGTATATAATATAAAATATGTGCATTTATACTGCCCGTGACTTCGCCCGCGTAAAATTTTGGATGAT